GTGTGAGTGAGAGAGTGTGAGTGAGTGAGTGATGTAAAGGGGTAAAATCATGGTAAACTTGTGTGCTGTTTTCCACATGAATGTAATGAAGAAATCGTCTGGATGAGAAGGGTCCATGTGAATGAACAGTGATTTTCCTGCTTCATTTCCTAAGAAAATAAACCATGTTTTTATGCACTAAATATATTGCTGTTGTCTAGAGTTCATGAAGTCATTTATCACAGATGGAGATTGTAGAGTATGATGTGAATCTATCACTAAACCATTCAGCTCTTGAGTGCTCTGATAGTTGACGATCATCTCATCTTAGGCTCTTATTTCTCTTTATATGGATCTGTTTAGCAACACAATGTACTGGATTCGACCAAAATCAAGAAAATAAAGCTGTAAACTGTCATTTTGCATTCAGTTTTTTTTTTCAGTATTCATTTCACGAGCCAAATGTTCATCTAACGAGGACTAAACCGAGGACTAAAAATAAAAAAGTTTTTGGGAACTGAAGTTCTTCCCGTTTGCCAAATTTCGACTCCTACTACGGCGGGGGATGAGCTCATGAATATTAATCAGGTCACTGCCGTTGCCTGTAACCTGCACTAGGAGAATGTTCGCTTATGAATATTGATGCGATGCTGAAGGCTTTCTCGTGAATATTAATTAGGGTGTGTTGGCGTTGATTGGTGCTCTCCCGGGCCTCATGAATATTATGGCAGTCCTTCGCCGCAGTAGAGCGGCAGAATCCGCTTCCCGTTCGGGATGTTTTGGCTGGAGTCGCGTCCGCTCCTCTTATTTCTGCCATCTTGAGAAAATACCGTCCTCGCCGGACCACACAGCTAAAACCATGAGGTGACTAAATATCTCACACACACACACACACTTACACTTGTACTTCAGGTTTGTGTCGTTGCTTTATAAAGTTGCTGCACACAAAGAGACAGCGGGCCGAACTCATATTTAACACTCGCTGAGAGGAAAAGACGAGACTTCGAGGAAGACTATGGTTTCAGATCTTCAGTGGCGCGATAAAACTCAGCCAGCATCTATTTAAGGATTTATTTTTTCATGATTGAGTTCTTTGTAAGTTATTTTCACAGTGAAGTTTATTCTGTCAGTGTAAGTGTTACTGTTTTCAGTCGGTCTGTCGAGTTGTCAGTTGTGTGTGATGTTGAATTCTTTTGCAGCACATCTGTGAGTAACGCTAGGGTTGCCAACTTCAGAAAAGGAGAATAAGGGACACACACAGGCCTATTATAAATGGAGTCTCTTATGCTCATCAATGCTGTATTATTATTTGATCAAAAATACAGAAAAAAAGTAATATTGTTAAATATTATTGCAATTTCTAATATTGGTTTCCTATCTTATTATACTTTAAAGTATACTGTATTTCTGTGACGCAGCACTGAGTTTTCAGCATCATTACTCCAGTCCTCGGTGTCACATGATCCTTTAGTATTGTGTGCTGCGCATTTTACTGAGGATAGCTTCCACATCACGAGTGAGTAGTGCCGGATTCGCCAAAAAGCTTTTGTTGAAAGATGGAGCAAGAGGCGTGGCAGTACTGAAACACCGTCTAAGCTGTTCGCCAATCACAACGCACTGGGACAGCTAACCAATCACAACACATTTTGTTTTTCGGAAGGCGGACCTTCATCAAAGCCGGAACTAATCAAGCCGTTTGTGCCAGGCTGGGGAGAAAGGTACTTTAATAATGTAAATTATGTGAAAAATAATGTGTTTTTCGAACCACCAAGCATGAGAGCATGTTCTAGTACACCCCCAAAACAAAATCAAGACTTTGTAAAAGAGCATAATAGGACCCCTTTAATATTTTTTTGGAACCTGTGTTCCATAAACAAAATAAAAAGTTAAAAAGAACAGAATTTATTCAAAATAGAAATCTTTTCTAACAATATCACTTTTTATCCATTTAACACATCCTTGCTGAATAAAAGTATTCTAAAAGTTTATTTAAAAAAGAAGAAGAAAAAAAGAAATTTACTGACCCCAAACCTTTTTTTTGTTGGAATAATTGTGTATATTTAACACAACATTTTTATTTTGAATAAATACTGTTCTTTTTAACTTTTCATTTATCAAAGAATCCTGAAAAAATATCATATATACATATTTATCCTTTGTGTGTGTGTGTGTGTGTGTGTGTGTGTGCTTTATTTATATTTATATTTATATTTATATTTATGCATATGTGCAGTGGTGCCTGGAGAAGTGGGTATACTCGTAATGTATGCCCCATGACGTGTTATAAACAGTGACGTGTAAAACTAGTCTTGTATATTTAGTTCACCCCAAAATGGGCCGGCCGTATTTGCATATTGTCAATTAACTTCTGCTGCTTGACTTCACGGAGTAAGAATCATTATGAAATTAAAATTTGCCACAGAAGAGGTGCAGATTTTGCATTAATTCAAGTAAAATAAAAAATAGACTGCAGCAATGAACATTTTGTCAGAACCTCTAGTGCATTACATGCTATTTTGTTTAGTTGTCTGTTCGTAGGAGAATAATGATCTCTATTTTCTTTTTTTTTTTTTTTCGTGACAATCAATTTATCCAGAATTTATCCCCCCATCCCCACCACCTTTTTAATATAAATAAGCACCGTCAATAAATATGGACTGCTTTGGGTGCTTGACACTTCATTGGTCATTTTGTGTTTTAAGAATGATATTCAAGGTTAAGAATACACTGGAAGCTACTTAAATGTAAATACGACTTTCCTCATTGATCACGTCTTCAGGTAAAATGCACGTTTTCTTGCGTGGCTGGATGTTGGAATCACGTTGTCTATAGCACACCTGTACATATTTATCCTTTGTGTGTGTGTGTGTGTGTGCTTTATTTATATTTATACATATGTGTATTTTATTCACATCTTATTTTTATTATCTGTGTGTTGTTGTTGTGTCCGTGTACTGGAATATTGTGACACTAAAACAAATTCCTTGTATGTGCAAACATACTTGGCAATAAAGCTCTTTCTGACTTCTGATGCGTGTGTGTAATATACAGTAGGCCTACTACAGTATGAAAATGCATATTTTTCAATTAAAGAGAACTTACAGAATAAATATGTACTGCTTTGGGTGCTTGACACTTCTTTGGTCATTTTGTGTTTTAAGAATGATATTCAAGGTTAAGAATACACTGAAAGTTACTTAAATGTAAATACGACTTTCCTTATTGATCACGTCTTCCCTCAGGTAAAATGCACGTTTTCTTGCGTGGCTGGATGTTGGAATCACGTTGTTTGCATTCGCTCAAACTGATTTGCTGAAGTCGAAACACGGTCGTTAAAAAACCCAACTCCGTTAGAGTCCCGTTGATATTCACAACTCAAACACTTGTCAAAAAAGAATGATTAATTTTCAATTTAGAGTTTGTTATTTGTATGATCTAGGTGTTCATATGGCATATGCCTTAAATACGGGACAAACTGCGTTCCGTGTAGCTTTCATACGGAACGCTTCTTTGTTGCCTTAAATACGGGACGATTCCGTATTATACAGAACGGTTGGCAACCCTAAAGTGTGTGTCTGTGTGTGTGTGTGTGTGTGTGTGTGTGTCTGTGTGTGT